CTTTCGGACCCTCCACAAGTCTCTCATTTTTGGTTCAAATTGTTAATGGTGCTTGCAGAGGTATCAGGGTTATCATGTTGTTGGAGTCGCTTTTGGGTATCCCACAATATCCCGAAAGCAACTGAGAAACCCTCGAGCCTCGCAGGGCTCTCAAGGCGCCTGCGAAGCCAAAGGCGGCGCCGGCAGCGCCGAAGGCGGCACCGGCGCCGAAGCCGAAGGCAGCTGCCCAGCAGGCACCTGCTCACGGCAAGAAGCGTCGGGCTTCGACCGATGAAGCGGAGGAGGCTCAGCCCAAAAAAGTGGCAAAACGCCGCAAGGGTAAGAGCTCTTAGGCCTTTTTTTCGTTTGCGCGAAAAGGCAAGCATTAATCCGGGTGCATCACATATGCAGCCAGGCTGCATATGCTGCAATTAAGCTTTGGGGAACCATCTGGTGCGTGCCCGCTTTAAGTGACCACGAGCCGTTCTCAAGATATGGCTTGTGTTTTGGCGGAGGAGCGAAAATAAGAGATCTCGATTGCATATGTTTGCACATGGAACATTATTGAAAGCATTGCTTGCAATATATGCATGTCTTCCATCGTTTTTCCACAACTTGCCAGGTTTCGATGCTCGACTTGCTCTTGCACCAATGGTGGGTGGAGGCCGGGTGGGGTTGAGACTGTCAGGAAACCGCTGCATGGGAATCATAAGGGCCGACTTGTTTTTCCCCAACAGAAGTCTGATGGTTTTCGGGGTATATATTGTTTTCCCGTGCGACTTTGGCATATCCATTGGGGTATGTAAGGTGGCCCTGGCAGGGATCTTTGACCTTGTCAGGCCATTTCCTGAACGTGGAGGATGAGCAAAGGGTGATTCAAAATAGCTCTGAACATGCTGATGAAATTCTTCTGGATTACTTTCGGGGAGCACCTTGTTTGCAAAATCAGAGAAATCTCAAAAACCGCATGGAGCTTGTTCATAGGCGGAATCAGCTGAAAGATCTTCCCGAATGGCACGGAGAGCTTGTTCGCTGAGGGGGGGCCGCCTCTAGGCTTTGCATTAATTGCATGTCAAGCATCATCAAGCTGGAACAAGGTTAACACAACCAAACGCGTGTCTGAGGGCGGGATGACCTTTTGGCTGCAATTGCAAGGGCAAGTATTTCTAAAGCCAACGCTGCTAGAAACCTGAGATCCGTCATTACGAAGCATGGTGTTTCGCTCCCCGTCGAGATTGACCTGGTCAAGGTAACAATCAGGCTTCACAAGCCGCGACTCAGAGATGTCAAAGTACAATGGCCAGTTTTGAATATGCGAAGCTGGATGGAGGTTTTGATTTCAAGAGCTCCTCAAGTGCTTTTGGGGGGCTTTGCGCTGGAACAGGAACAAGAGTGGCGCGCAGCATTTACAGATTTCTGGCGCTTGTACCGAGAATACGATGCCAACCACCCGGTCTTCCAAGAGCAACATGACATGTCAGTCCGGCTGCCGGTATTCTGTCATGGCGATGAGGGGCGTGGATTACGTCGTGTGCCATTTATGGTGGAAGCATGGCAGCCGGTCTTGTCCCACAAAGGTGCTAATTGCACAAACATGAGTGGGTATCCTTGGCAGCAAATTCAGTCAACGCAATAGCGCACAAACAATGAGCAAGCTCAATGAAATCAAAGTTGCCGAGGCATACATTTTGTTCTCGCCTACTCTTCACTTGCATTAGCAGCAAACTCTTTGCGGGTGACCTGACGCTACGACAAATCAACCGCGCATGGGCAGAACAAATGATTTCTCTTTCCCAGGATGGTGTGCAGGCTGGAATCTGGAATGCAACTTCATCACAATGTACTTTGGTCAAACATTCAATTTGCAGGTTTCGGCCAACACCAAGCTGTTCGTGACATTCTTGGGAGGTAAAGGAGATTGGCCTTATCTTCGTAAGGCCCGCTTTCAGAATCTGCATTGGGCGCCCAACCCACGCCCGCTCCCAGGCCTGGGGACTCCGCGGAGGCTTTTCCGGCAAGAAGGTTTGCCACGTCTGCAGCGGCGAGGCGGGAAAAGGGCAAGCTGGGAAAAGGGTGGGAAACGGCAAACGTTTGGGGATGTCCGTCTTTGGCCACATCAAGATTTGGGAGGGTTTACTATCAAAATAGCTGATTCAAAGCGTCCTGATCCTAAGCCCTTTCTTATGGTCCCCCATATTCACAACAACTTTGATGGCCTAATCTTGCAAATTACAAATGGCTCCAAACCATGCAGTAGATATACACACGGGTTCCGGCTACTGCTGTCGGCAAATCCCTGCTGAGAACTGGCATGATTTCAGTGAAGATGCTCCATGGCGGCATGAGCGACCAAATCCATCGCCCTTCAAAGAGGACGGCAATCCGTTTCATAAAGTTCCTGGAGCGGACGACGCCCTGCGAGTTCTGCCAGATGTGATGCACACATATCACATCGGATTCGGCGTCGACTTTTGCGCGTCCATCATCATGTGGCTGGCCAATCTTGGCCACTTCGGCCATGAAGGCAAAATCGACGACTGGTTGCGTGAGGCGCACTCTAGGTTTATGCAGTGGTGCGCGGCCAATGGCAAGTATTCAGCTTGCACGGAGTGGTCACGAAGAACGTTCCACATGAAGTCGAAACTTGTGCCAAATTCAGGCGCGGCATTTGCATATTGACCTGGCATGCGCGCATGATCTGAGGAACAATGACTACCCAACCTCTATTGGCGGCAAAGCGCACGACACGGGGGTCGTGACAGCGTGGCTTGAGCATGTCCTTCGCGGCATAGCGCCTTTCCAGCAACTAGCACGCACGAGCTCGTATAAACAACATATCACACGTGTTGCGTCGCGCGCTCGCAGGCACCAGACAATGGCATCATCGACACCATGCGGTACACCGTCTCTCAGTGCAACGTCTTTTTTCGCACCCTGCACAAGCACGGGAACTTCATCCCACCGGCTGACAAGGACAAAGCGATGTGTGCGGGCAACGATGTTTGCGTGTCTTGTCGGCACTCTGTTTGGCTTCAATGTCTTTAATCACATTTGCTCGCTCCCAGGTCGGATATGCAAACTTAGCGTTTGCAAGCTGGACCCAATCCATGAATCTTTTTCGGCTACGACCGAAACTCCATATGTACCAGGAAATAGTTTTGGCCATGGACAGAGCACCAACATGCTTGAGTCCTATTGCTTCCAGTTGCTGGGCTGATGAAGATTTCATCGGTCGCTGCAGCAGAGTTTCTAGAGCTTCTCACAGCAACGGGTTGGCAATGTCGTTTGACACATTGAGGAAATGCCTCGGATGTTACACCAACCAGCTTAAGCAAGAGTTTGCGTAGGAAAAAAAAAGTCGGGCCCACGGCCCGCCTCACGAGCTTCAGGAAGTAGAGCTTGGCAGCAGGCGCGGCAGCGCTTGCACGTGTGTGTCTGTTTGTGTGTGTGCGCGTGCTCCCCAGTCAAGCCACACCTGAAAACCTAATCATTCGTATGGGTTTTGAGGGAAACCGTACCCAAACGCTGAGAATTCGGTGATTCGTAGTGGTCTCCTGAAACTGCTGAAAATTTCCCGGAGTTTGAGGGTGCAGGATATATATATATATATATATAATATATATATATATATATATGAATATATGTGCCAGTAGCTAGAGCAAAGCAGAGTGGCTCGAAGCGCGTCACACGGAGACATCGACAAGCGCCTTGTCGGTTGCAGGGAACAACGGGAAACTCAAAAACAACTCAACGGAAACTCGGTTGCTTTCTGCTCCCCTGCTAAAAGTGACTAACTTTTAGTGGTTTCATCCGGAAAACCCGATAGTTGGCAAAAAGTTAAAGTCCCAATATCCCTTGGCAAAATGCACCAACGGAAACCAACCGTGTTGGGAGCGAGTGCCCGGCTTACGATAGCAGCACCCAGCTCGAGCCAACACCGGAAACCAATCCGGGTGTAACGAAAGACACGTCTTGGTACGGGACAACCTGGCTTTGCGAGGTGGGGTTCCGTTTCGCGTATGGGTGTTTTTTTACTGTGCTTCTACGGCAACTTACGAGATTCTCACGGTGTCCTTTCGCGAGTCCTGACAGAAACAGCGTGTTGCCCAGAAAAAAAAACGGTTGGTTCTTTCGCTCTGACCCGTATACTTCCAGGTTTTAGCCAATGCCCTTCGGAAGTGATCGCATCTTTCGCCAAATCGAACACCTCTCACTATTGCTGGAGTCCTCCATTTGCTTTTGAAAAAAACGGAAATGTGTCGCAGTGATAGATCACTGTAAGAAGACAACAGGGGAAACAAAACATGCTGTTAAGCAAATTGAGCGGTCCGCGCCCTCACTCCCAAACCGGCAGAGCTTGTCCTTAAGATTCCCTCTGTGCTTAAAACGAATCTCACACAACTACCCATGGCGAATCGGGGGCGCTGCGGCGCTAGGGAACAAGCACCAGGAAAGCTTCCGGAACGGGCACCTAACATGGCTGCAGAGTCATATCGATGTGTCGATGGCCCGCCCTTACAGTATCCCACGGAGGAAATCTGGGATTTCTTAAAAATTGGGCCTCTTGACACCCAAATAGGCAAGGGGTGTGGTCCCCTCCAGGTCAAACTCCCCAGCGCAGCTTTTGTCTTCAGCTCTCGGGTTTGCAGCTTTCGAGCAGAGACTGAAGGCACGGCAATCTCAGTCGAGCGCACTGGCTGGACATTGAGAGCCTCCATTCGGCTCCTGGGTGAACCATACGACTTCACCAAGAAAATGCTGGCTGGAGTTCCAGTCTGAAGGACAAACGTCGGAGTTGGCGCTGGCAGGCTGAAAGCTCTTCTGGGCCGTCACAGGCTGATGACCAAGCAGGGCTGTCTTGTGAGGGATAGCATCGCCAATCACTGATCGGGATGCCACAGAGCCGCCCCAAGTAAAGGTCATTTGTAGTGAGCTCATTCCACCCCGGCGAGCTCGCCATAACAAAACGGCAGTCAAATGCTTGCGCTTGCTGACGGAGATACCCCGAACTCATCTCAACCTCATTTGCCAGATGCCACCGCCACGGAAACGCGACCGCCACACACCGTGCGCAAGTTGCTCAGGGCAATGCCTTGCAGACTTTGGTTGAAGTCGTCACCAAGTTCGAGCCTCTGCAAACCGCTGGGCAGAGCCACTTCCTGCCATGGGTATTCTTGGTTGCTGTCTGCTCCCCTGCTAAAAGTGACTAACTTTAGTAGTTTAATCGGAAAACCCATTAGTGGGCAAAAAGTTAAAGTCCTAACATCCCTTGGCAAAATGCACCAAAGTATTTTTGGAGGCACCCTTGTTACCCAGGCCTGGTTTTTAGAGACACCTACAGGGAACACCATCTTGGGGGTCACCGATTTCGAGAATGCCGCGTCCTGTAGCGGCTGATTGAACCTGACTCCGAAGGTGAGGCTCTGCAAGCCGTCGGGCAAACTCACCTCCTGCAGCGGTTGGTTGAAAAAGTTCCCGAAGCTTAGGCTCTGCAAGTTGCTGGGCAGAAGAACTCCCTGCAGCGATTGGTTGAAGCGGTGCCCAAATTTCAACTGCTGAAGTCCGCTTGGCAACACCACCCCCTGGAAGCTTTGGTCGAAGCAATGCCCAAATGTCAAGCTCTGCAAGTTGGGCGGCCACTTCACTCCCTGAAGCCGCTGGTCAAAGTGCACGCTGAAGGTCAGGCTCTGCAAAGCGCCAGAAAACGTCACTCCCTGCAGGTTTTGGTTAAAGAAACGCCCCAGCTTGAGGCTCCGCAGACTGCTGGGCAGCGCAGCTTCCTGTAGACGCTGGTTGAAAGAAGTCCCAAACTGCAAGTGCTCCAGGCCAAAGGGCCAAGTCGTGCCTAGCTACCAGTGGCGATGGGAAAAAAGAAACTGGAGCACCCCCCCCAATTTCTGGTACGTGTTTCAAGAAGGGCACTTTCCGTCCGAAAGAGGAAAAACAAAGGGGACAAGCTTGGGTACTGTAACGACCCCTCTGCAAACAGTGAACCATTTTTTGTGCGTCCAATTCGTAAAATCCACACACTTCAACCAAAAAGTCAAAGTCCAAAGATCCATTACCAAATAGCCATAAAAACACAAAGAATGTCTGTGGTGCCTTGCAAGCTTTGGTTGAACTCGTTGCCAAGTTCAAGCGTCTGCAACCGTTGTGGCAGACCAGTCAGGCTCTGATTAAAGCAATTGCCCAATCTCAGGCTCTGCAACTGCTCCGGCCAAACCAAAGCCAGGTCTTGGTTGTAGCCTGGGTTGATCTCAATGCGCCCCAAGCAGGCGTAACCTTTTCACAGTTCTGCATTAACATGTGGCTGTGGGTCAAAACCAATGGTACCGTTTTGGTTGGTAGGTGAATTCACCACCCATCTTAGAATCTATTTTAGTGGTTGGATTGGATCGGATGCTCACTGGGGCTAACGATTTGGCTTTTGACCCATGGACGCGACGAAAGCTGCGCTCAGGTCGCAGGTCTTAAAAGATACAAATGTTGCCACCATGTGAAACATGGTTGCTTCCAATGAAGTTGGAAACCACCATTTACAAGCAAGGCAATGTTCAGGGAATGCATGTAAGGATCCCTGTCAAAGGGTTTCCAGTTTTAGTTGCTTGACAAAACCACACAGCTTCAAAACTGGCCATGGACACCTTTCACGTTTCTGACCTCCGGGATCCCCAAGTACAGAGCCGTTCGCCCAGTCGGAATAAAGTTCTCAGATGCCCAGTGGCCGTGGGGAAAAAAAGGGCACCCTGCTTTGGTTGGTGGAGTTTTAAGGGGAACCCTGGGCACCCTTTTTGGGTTGGTGGAGTTTGAAGGGAACCCTTCCCCCCAAAAAAGGGAAAAAAGGGGAGCAACCCACTGGGCAATGGAGAGTTTTTTGATGGGCAGCTTGGTCAAACGGCAAAGCTTGCGGTCATCCAGTTGCCCAGGGACCTGACTGGTACAAGACTTGGAACAAATTCTTGGATTAGGTCCGCCAGTGGAGAGCTTGGAATAAGGGTACCAACTTTTTTCTCTAGTTTATTTTAGCAGGGGACCCCTCCCCCAAAAACAGGTAAAAGGGCACTGGGGGACCTAGTGGGGATAGTTCAATTTTTAGTGGGTCCTGAACCTGCTCTCACCAAACAAGGACAAGAACCCTTTTGGGGTTGACTCCATTTCAAGCGCAGATGGGTATGGGTCAAAACTAAACCGCCAGGGGACCGCAGACTTAAGTCCTTGTTTCCGTGTGCCAGGCTTCTAGTTTGGGTGCCTATTCTTGACCCACGCCCCAAATAACGAGAAACTCGAGCACCCCCCATCCGCCAGTTTTCTTCCCCAAGCAGCCATGGAATTCCAGGCTTTTGAGGTCCCTGGGAAGCCGCATCTGCAAAGGTTGATTGAAGGACCGGCCGAAGATCAGATCCTGCAAGCCCTCCGGCAAGGTCACTCCTGCGTCGCGCACCGGACCAAAATGGAGATGGTCCTTTTGGGGTTCTTTTCAAACCACACAATACCCTCAGAACAAAAAGGCAGACGCAGAAAGAAGCAGGTAGTAGAACTGCCTACTTGAATAGCCAATAGCGGCGTGCTGCTCAGGTGTGTGGGTGTTTTTTCCAGGGTACCCTTTTCGGGTAGGTTGTTCAGCCAAAAGGAAACCCGGCATCGCGCCCACGGCGCCCTGTATTTGGACACACCCTTCAAGGGGCCTATAGCAAAATTGGGGCACACGCCATCCCCCCCCCCCAAGAAATCCTGTGATCTCCCTTTAAACCAAACCAACAAGGGTACCCTCGAAAAAGACACACGCATATCCATGCATGGATTTGGTGTATATCCATCATTGTCCTAAGGTTCCGAACAACCTTAGCCACTTAGGGCTCCATAAAGATTCCTTGAAGAATACGTTCAACCAAGTGATTTCTAAGGGAGCCTTCTAAAAATCCGAGAAAAAAAACACTGATGGCTTTTAGCTGACACGTCCATTGGCCCAAGTGCATCCTTCAATAAATGGACCAGCCACCCGCTTCCGTCTGCTGTGTTTGTTCGACGTCAAAACCCGCGCTCCTTGCATGGCCTGGTTAAAGGAATCACCAATGGCCAGGATCCGCAAGCTCGCAGGCCACACTGCCCCATGCAGGGCTTGGTTGAAGCTGTGCCCAAGCCTTGGTGGAAGGTCTGCCCCAGGCGGTTTTACCCTTTTGGGGGGGGGGGGGGGGCAGAGGCTATTTTACCACCTTTTTTGAGGGGGGGGGGGAATTTAATGACTTTTTGAGTGGGATGGCCAGAAAACGTCTAAACTGTTTGGTTACCATGATCCAAAAAGTGCAAAGTCCAGGAAAGGGAAACCCACCGGAAACCACCCTTTAGGGGTTGCCATATCTTTTGCTGAGACACACGCAATTGTCTTTTGGTGACCTTTTTTGGGGGGTCCAACTTTCTTCCGTGTTTGGTGTGATCGTTCCCTCTCCAAGTGAACTCTCTGCATTCCCCGAAATCACCCAAAATCACCTTTCTTCAAGACCGCCAGTCGGGATTCTACATCCAAACTCGGCCAAGCACCACCATGTCTCCTTCGCCATTCTCTCACTTTAAAGGGTGGTGGGACATAGGAAATCACTGGGTGTTCGCCAGTTCAAATCCTGGCCTTCCAGAAATTCGATGGCTCTAGGGCTTGATTCCTCGTCCATTCTTGAGTCTGGAGGTCTAGAAGGATCCCTACGGGGAAGCTACCCCTAGAGTTGCCCCAGACTCAAACCCGCGGATCGCTCGAAAAGCTGTGCCAAAAGTCACGCGAGAAAATCGGCCCAAGGCCAGCGCCGGGCATTGCGAAACCCTCCACTTCCTAAAGGAAGGGAAGCCAAAATAAGAGTCCATGTCTTTCGGAAAAAGAAAATAAAAGTGGCTCAGTTCCAGGCTCAGAGCCTAGGACAAATCCCAAACAAGCTGGGATTAGTTGCCCAGAAGGGCAACTGGAAAGAAAGGCCGACCTTTTTGTGTGCTCTTGCGTATGTGTTTTGCATGTGTGTGTGTGTTTTGGAGAACCAAAAGCTGGGCCCAGGGTCCTACCCTTTTGGTATCTTGAGCACATCCGCAATTTCAATCTGGACCCGGTCCGGGTTTCTACAAACTGGCTGCTCAGGGAATAAGAAATGGAAATTGACCCCCGAACCATCCCCTACTGTGGATGGACGAAATCCATTTCGCACCACCTAAGAAACCCTGGTTTCTGATGATTCCAATGTAAATACCAGCAAACGTTATGGTTTCAGCCATGGTTTCATTTCGTGGTGCGAAATGGATTTCGCCACCATCCCCTATGGTTTCCTCTCAGGGGATCCCTTGCCATGTCTCAGTCCCCGACACAGGATGGTTTTGTGGGCCTGAGATCCCAGGCCAACTCATTGCCCCAAGTGAAGCTGTTTCCCCCTTGAGGCCCTCAGGAAACCTGTTTTTGCGGGACCCCATGAACAGGTTGACAAAAAAAAACAACTTGGTCTGCAGGAATCAGCATGCTTCACCCGTCGAAAGCCTTTCAAAGGCATCGCAACAGACCCGAAGTTGCAGGGGTCAACACATGCCCAAACTTATGCCAGGCGAAACGGTGTTTCCAGAAAGTTTCAGCTTGCAATCCTCCAGATTAATACTGAACCCAAACCAGTATCGTTTCATAGCAACTACCTGATGTCACGGTCATTCTCCGCAACCATGTGGGTGTGTCTCCCACAAAAAACAGACACAACACATGTGCTCAAAACACAAGTCGCGGCACGAGCAAGCCAGCCCGCGCTTCGAAGCTCGCGCCGAGAAGCGTCAGGCTCCGCAGGGTTTCTGGAAAGGAGACGCCCGTCAAACTCTGATCAAAGCCGAAGCCCAAGGTCAAGCTCTGCAAGGCCGGCAGCGCGATGCTTTGCCTGAACTCACGGTGTGGGTCTACCACGTTTTCCGATTGGTGCCCCTTTAAACCAACCAAAGAGCGCCAAAAAAAAGAAAGAAAAAGAAGAAGAGCCAACCCCAGGTCGAAAACGGATTTGTGCCCTTTTCAGTGATGCCAAATGATGCCAAAGTGAATATATTCACAACTTGACGAGTTTATCACCTATGGGCATTGGTATCATAGAAAGTGTCCGCCTAAAACCCCTGGTCTTAGTTCCACAGCCGTGTGACTGTGGTCAGCTGCGAACTCAAAGCCAGTTTGTTGTGTCCATGTTCTGACATCGGTGTTGCGCAAGGGCAAAGATATGAGCCATGTTCAAAACTCCTTATATGCTGGTCATGGTTCCCGCAAAAGGAATCATAGCATAACGGCGATCTTACCGGTTGAATGTGCATCCCTGCAAACTTGGGGATTTGTGCACAGAAACACATGGCTATGCCTCACAAACTAGGGAACCCCTCAAAATGGTTTTGTTCCTTGTGACTTCCCTTTGAAACCCGCCAAGCAAAATACCCGCAAAAGCATACTCACACATTTTGGACTGAAGCCAAAACAATACCCTATACTACCCAACTAATCCAAAGCCTACTTGCAGGGCGGCAACCAGGGGCCTATACAAAACGGATGCTGTGGTAATATGCGATGCTCATATGAGCTCCGGACAGAATGATGGTATCTCCCCAAGGGGACAGGGGACAATTGGCTGGAAGTTGAACCCCAATGTCCTCATGTCCTCATGTCCTTCCCAAAGCAACAGAACTATCAATATGTTTTGTGGGTGCTGGCACCAAATCTTGGACATTTAGGCTGGACCAAACGAAATACTTTCAGACCCCAAAAAGGGTGGATCAAGCACAAAAGTCTCAGACCCCAAAAAAGTAAAACTCTCACTTCGGAGGAGAGCCCCACAAATCTTCACCCGGCTGCAGCGGTTGATTGAAGCCACGGCCGAAGCTCAGGTTCTGCAAGCCGCTGGGCAAAGCAAGCTCCTGGGTTCTTATGGGGGTGTTCCCCTCGTAACAGTGATGATTCCTGGTCCTCCAGTGGAGAGGATAGAATAAGGGTACCAACTTTTTCTGTAGTCTATTTTAGTAGGGGAACTCTCCCCAAAAAAAGGGGAAAAGGGCACTACTGGGGGACCTAAATTGTTATGGGGGTGTTCCTCTCGTAACTGTGATGATTCCTGCTCAACCTAGTGGAGAGGTTAGAATAAGGGTACTTTTTTTTTCCTGTAGTCTATTTGAGTAGGGGAACCTCAACCAAAAAAGGGTAAAAGGGGAGTACTGAAAAACCTAGGTTATTATGGGGGTGTTCCCCTCGTAACTGTGATGATTCCCGCTAAACCCAGGGACACCCCCTAGTCATAAACTGGGGTTGATTCATCTGGGGACCACCAAATTCCCACCGACTTAGATCCGGGGCTCCAAGTACTTGGTCCAACAACAAAAAATAACACGCTGTGGATGATCCACAAAACGCACCAGTTGGAATGGATGAAAACAACTCCAATCACACCGCTGCGGTTTGTGGATTTCGTAACATTAAGAGTAGGATTGGGGTACCTGGACCCTCACAATTCCTTTTAAAACATATGTCTTTGCTCCAAAATTATGGTGTGAAGTCCCCTTCTTTTATGGGTATAGATTGAATTCCCCCCCCCCAAAAAAAAAGCGCATCGTTTTGGAGACCCAGGAAAACCTGTCGGCCACCACACCGATCCGTGTCCTGCGCAGTGAAGTTTGCGCCCTTCAGGTCTCGCAGGCCTTGAGGCCAAGCGATGTCCGAGGGCTCCAAAGCCACGTCCTCCGGTCGCGGCTTTCGCCGCTTGGCCATGGGTCAAAATCCAAATCGGTTGCTCCCAGCGAACATCCCAAAAAAATGGGTGGTGAATTCACCTAGCCCAAAATGGTACCATTGGTTTTGCCCCACAGCCACTTTGGGGTCTCCCAAGCTTCTTTCCAGGCATCATTCTTTCTACAAAAGCACCCAAAACCCTGGGGAAACGGATCCGGCTTGAAAAAAACGATGGTTGAAAAGGCGTTCGTCGCTTGGGGGTCTCCCAAGCTCAAGGGCTGGACAATTCGTTGTGGATACCTGGGGCTTACTGCGACCAGTGCCCTGAAAGTCCGAATCTGTGGTTCATGGCCGTGGTTCCCTTCGGACCTTTAAATTGCCTCAAGCCTTGTTACTCGCTTGCCCAAAGGACCCCAGAAATAAAAGGCTATCCTTGCATGCATGTTAATCTTTTCGTGGGATATGGGTCTGTCTCTTTTTGGAGTGTACCCTTTTTGGTTGGCTCAGGGAAGCCAGAAAACTAAAACCGAAGCCATTTTGGGCAAACACACTTACACCCCAGTCGCCGTTTTCAACCTTAATGAGTTCCTTCCAAAGAGAAACCAAACAAGACGGCCTTCTGATGCGCATCTCCTTGAAGGAACCAAACGCCTCGCCAAAACAACTGTTCTTTGATTGGGGGGGCCCGCTTCTCATCAAGGCAACCTCCAAGAAACCAAACACATCGCCGCAAAAACCGCTAAAAAAAAAAAAAAGTGCATCCCCGCGCGCGTCCTCCTGCGAAGCCAGGCTTTCGATCTGGCCGAAGCTTAGGCTCTCAAGGCCCATGGGCAATTCCTCAATCAAAATCTGGCAGGGTGTGAAACCCGGTTGTTGGTTGGATTCTTGGCTGGCTTAGGGAACGCCAACAAAAAACACGTGTTTTGTTTTGTTGGGGGGGGGGTCCCCTTAAAATACTTGAATCACAATCACAACCTAGCCCAACCCCAAAAACCAGGGCGAAAAAGGCTACCGAGCCTCAAAAGAGCACACAGGCTGGCTACAATCCCTGCCAAACTAAGTGGCTCCTACCCCAGTGCTTCCAGGCAAGCCACCATAGTCAGCAACCAGGCATGTTCTGAGTGTGTAATTTTCTCGAGGTTTTCCGTCATGGTTTCCACGGGTGATCCACTTGAGTGGAGACCGTACCTGTTACACCTGATTGGAGTCAGAAATCAAATCTGGCTTGCTTCGTCTACCCTAAAATATAAGATTGTTTTAGGCCAATCCCCAGCAAAATCGTTGGCGTCATGTTGGTTCCCGTGCCCAAGCTAAAACGGGGTCCACCATTTTGAGAAACTCCCACTTGAGCTTGTCGTTCTTGCGAAGCGGAAACTCTTGAGAGCTGTACTTTTGAACCCGGATTAAGAACGCCACGCTTGAATGATAGAATCATTCAAAAGGACATCCTTGAACTTTTTGGGAGCACCCCACTATTTGTGCACCAGGTTTGTACATGAACTCACTTCCTAAGTGGATTGGCCAACAACGTCCTAAACATGTCTAAACTTTTTTACGTGCCGCCAAAATGGTCCAAATTCCAAAAGTGACTCCAAATTCCAAGAACCCGTCCAACCCAAAAAGTGAGAAACAGGGGACACCTGGTGCACGGATGACAGGATCAAATTGACTAGAGGGTCGACTTAAACCCAGTTATTTTTGGAAAGGAGGCGTCTGGGAGAAAGTCTATCTGGGGGCCCCAGAATCTCAACCCTGTTCCAGTATGTTCATAGAAGAACGGTAGATGGAATCATTGGAAAGGAACACCTGCAAAACAGAAAAGGGAAAAACAACACACACACACACTCACACATGTGCTACTGGGCAACTAAGAAGCGACTCCCTGCAAGGATTGGCTGAAGCAATGGCCAAAGGTGAGGTTCTGCAGGTTGGGCAACTCGACTCCCTTCAAGCTGCGGTTGAACTGCCTACCGAATTTCAAGCTCTGCAGGCTCGGCAAATCCACTTTCTGCAAAGGTTGGTTGAAAGCGTCGCCAAAGTTCAAGTGCTGCAGGCTGGGCAAAGCCACCTTCCACTTGCTTATTTTTGTTCGCCCCCTGGCCAAAATGAGAAACGTATTTCAAGCAGTGAAATCGATTCCCTTTAAAACCAACCGTGGAGAATAATTACAGCCAACAAATTGCTTCACGCCAAGGGAAGCCACTCCCTCCAAGCTTTGGTTGAAGCAATGCCCGAAGCTCAAGCTCCGCAGATTCAGCAACGCCATGGATTCCAGTGACTGGTTAAAGCGCTTCCCGAAGCTGAGGCTCCGCAAGCCGGGCAAGGTGACGCCCTGGGCCATCCAGCTGGGAACAGGAATCGGGGAACCTGAAGCCATAAATTATGATGGAAAGTCAGAATTCAGCAACCAGATTGGTTTGCAACGTGCAATAACCAAGTGTTAAGGGAATTGTGAGGGCTCAGGAACGGGCTGGGTATAGGCTCCTTTCATTGCTCTGGCCCTCTCGAAAAGTCACCGAGAATAACCCCTGTTTCCGACCTTGACCCCACCAGAAACAGTCAACATGACCAAATTGAACCAGAGCGCAAGAAATCATTTGCCCAGCCTGCATGCTGCGCCTGAACTCTTCGCCTAGCTCCAGGGTCTGCCTGGGTTGACAAGTCACAAAAGAAGAGAACGGTCTGAAACTCACTTGCCCAAAGGACCCAGAAATAAAAGGTTAACCTTTGGGGTCCATGACTAAAACTAGACCAAAAAGGAGAAACCAAAAGGTCCAAAGGTCGGCTTTGGGCAACTAAGGAAAGGTTCCAGACTTGGCTGTTCAATGACCCATGTCGACGACTTCAACAATTTGGTGACCCGAAAGGATCCAAACTCAACCGATCGGTATCTAAAAGGTCCGGTTAAATTCAGAAACACCACGAAGCCAACTAAAAAGATCTACAATGCTAAGAACCGGATGGCTGGTTGAACCACCAAGGTATGGCAAGGAGACGGCCGTGCCGTATATAACCTTCTACCCGACTGGATATTGAGGACGTGGCTCAAATGAGTTTTGGCACTTCTACCAATCTTCCAAACTGCCCAAACAAAGCCGCTGCAAAAGTCAAGTGTGATGGCCCCAAGATATGCAAGCTGACAACGCAGTAGTCCAGACGGGGGAACTCACCCCCCAACACACCCCTGGGAGCCCAAGACCCTAAACTTCACCACCCTTGGTACAAAAACTTGGTTTTCTGCAGCACCGTACTAAAATGAACAGAACCAAAAACCAACTTGCCACGAACGGTGAAGTAGATAATTATACTAAATATAAGGGCCTTTTGCCCCCAAAGACCTTGAAGAATGAGGTCTTGGGCCCCCAAAATACGCTAGTCCCACCCATCCCCAGCTTAGTGATCGTTTTCAGCAGCGCTGAGGGGACTAGCAGGCGATTCACCTTTTGGACCCTTCGAGAAAAAAAACAAGCACTGGTGGGCGTGTCGGGGCTTTGTCTCTCCCAATGGACCCATTTACCTGTGTAGCACTTGGATGTTGGGCCAGGTTAGTGGGTGGTTGACCACTTGGAGTATAACCGGCTAATAACAAGGTTATCCCCACTTGGGGGGACTTATAAGTGGGTTACAACCTAGGTAATCACCCAGAAAAAAAGATTACCTACTATAAGGGCAAAACGCCCGGGAACCAGCGGGGCTTCCTCACGGAAACTTCTGTCACAGCTGTCAGAGATTCTCACAATCCTGGTATCGAAAATCGCGGCAGAACGCGGATGCGACGCTTCTTTGGCGGACTGCATCAAATCGCCAACTGTCGGGTGGCGATAACAGGTTCTTAAGGGAAGCTTCTTGGAAGAGGTACCCTTGGTTGCTGTTGACCCCTCTGCAAAAGTTTAACTTTTGCGGGTTTAGTGGAAAACCCGGAAAACCCCATGATTTCCCAAAAAGTTGAAGTCTGAAGATCCAACCCTATAATAGCAGTCAAGTACATAGCACAGCTCTGAGACCCATTCTCGGGCATGTCCTAATGTCACTCCCGAACCAAGTTGCAAGCCGCTGGGCAAAGTGATGCCCTGCAAGCATTGATCAAACTCATCGCCGAACTTGAGATATGTCAAGCTGGCTGGCAGGCCATCCTCCAACAAGGACACAATGCAGTTCTTCTCATAGCGCAAATCCTGGGCTGGCCATGACCCCTGCAACAAGTGAAGTGGTTCGCTAGTTGTTAGTGCGGAACAAAAAAGAGTTACAGGGCAAACTCATGTTAAAGGGCCAGCACATTTGCAAAAGTGCAAACACATCAGCCGGCGAGTAACACATGGCCATGGTTCAAAACCAATGGTGCCATTTTGGCATAGGTGCAACACCCATTTTAGTCTATTTTAATGGGATCGGGATGTTCATTGGGGGTACGGGGTTTTGACCCATGGCCACGTGTTCTGAACGCTAAACGATGAAATGTCGACCCAAAGAGCAACCAAGACTCCGTGATGCCTTCGAGTCCGTCCTCAGTCTCCCTCCCCTGCAGCCCACTCCACGCGCTCAGCAGATTGGTGCAGCTGTAGGTGAACACGCAGGTGGTCCTCAGGCAGATCTATATATACATATATGCTCAGCCCTCCCCCCCATGTTCCATACGTACAAAATATTGAAAAACACTTCAAGACAGGAAAGGTGGATCATGGGAAAAGGGGTTGACCATATATATATATATATATGTATGGTCAGTCTAGCTCACCCAAAGAGGACACAGAAGCCCAGTTGCCCGGTCAAACAATGCGTCCCTGAAAATGTACACCCGGTTATTTGGTTGGCTTCCTGTTGGTTTCCCTTCAATCAACCCAAAAGGGCTCCTTGATTGGTTAACTCACGTGAATCTGCAAACCTGGATTTGACGCGGTCAAACCACTAGTTGGAGCCTCCGTAGCCCATTAACAAAATGTGCACCTCAAAATTATTATACGCATAGCTTCCCTATGATTGCTTCATGTACAAAGGGTCGGAAGCAGATTCTTCAGCTACTGTTGTTTCAATCGCCTCTTCTCCGAATCGTGCCGAAACCAAGACTTGAGCAATGACCCTGGCACAATTCCCAGGTCAAAGGAACCTGGCGCCAATCTCAGCTGCCCCGGGGCCCCGAACAAAAGGCTCAATCATTTGGGACCACTAAAAATGGGAATACCCGGGAACACAAACAAGTCATTTCAGGTCGGCTTTAGGCAAGTGAGGTTCAGAGGTGGTTGATGATCCCTACCAACCCACGGTGTGTCGGGTCTTTTCACCATGGCCCATATTCACTTCAGGTCGATTCGATCAAAAGACAAGTGAGCGAATTGATGTCAACAGCAAGAGCAACCCAGCTTTTGAGGAACCTTTTTGAGGCTCATGGTTCCACTTGTTGACTACCCGGGTAGACTGAAACCCAGTGGTTCATTTCCGCTAAAGGAGAAGTTTTGGGTTTAAGTCTATCTTAGGGTCAAAACGGTGGCACCCTCCTCGTTGCAAGGTGTTGAACCTTAAGAGCTAGTGCCGAAAATCCCCGGGACGCCACTTGAAATTGAAGGAAACCAATACGTCCCAAGAAAATGAGACCAATATGCTGAGTAGTGTAGATTGCCTTTGAAACCAACAAGGGACAATGATAATCATGATCGTACTAAAAATTATGCGTATAAAACATCTTAAGCCATGGAAGGAAACAGCACTGGAGGTCGGAGGTCCAACTGCCCCAGTGTCGAAAGTGAGTTAGGGTCCCCAGATGAGGGACTGAGAATTCAGCCCGGTGCGTCCGATTTTCTAACATTTCTGATAGCAACCGAACGCGGAGTCCAACAAATGTCCAAGGCCCTAGGAGCGCAAGAGATCATTCAAGGTCCTTGGGGGTCAAGGGTCTGGACCCCACATTTTTAGGGTCTTGAACTCCTAGGAAAATACAAACATACTTGTTCTTTGTTCATACTCAAAAACGAAAAGATGTACCTGAACCCTCAAAATTCCATCCAAAAATGGGTTATTGCCCCCAAACCAGTGGGATGAACTGCCGTTTTTATGGGTAGTTTGAGGGAAAAGTGTGCCATCCGAAACTTCCATTTGGTTAAGACTGAAACAAAATATTTCCAGTAGTGATAGATTCCCTTTAAACCCAACAGGGGAAATCAAACATATCCTTAAGCAGATGGAAGGAAACCAACACGCCCTGCTCCTCCGCAGCTCCTCCTCCCACCGGCCCTCATCTCGACCTTCGTCGCCTCGGAGTGCGGGGCTGCGCCGCAGCAACGCCTCCCGAAGACTTTGCTGCGGCAGCAGCTTGGCGTCGCCGAGGCTCAGGTGCAGCACCCCACCCACCTGGAGCCGGAGTTCTTCCATATGCTTTCTCGCCCCCTGGAAGAAAAACAACACATATTTTCAATGGTGATAGATTCCCTTTAAAATAAACGGGGCAACAAATATATATATATATATACATACATATATTTGTTTTCAGCAAATGGAAGAGTTGGCAAGATACCACACAACTTGCTGCGATAGGCAGGGGATGAGAAATGGAATGAACCGTTCTGCGATTCCCGAATAAAAGGGAACCGAATCGGGGATGGCTGGGGTCATTCCAAGTCATTCGCTCAGCACCGACAAGAAAACCTCAAAGCCTGGGTACCGGGTAAACCAACCAGAGCAACCATGAGTTTCCGGGAAAAAATGGTGGGCTTCTCTTCCCGCTGCAACATGCTGGCCGCAGCCGATGCGCAAAAAGAGCAAGTGACCCTTCTTTCACCCCAGACCTTATTCATAATGAGGTCTTGGGCCCCTAGGGTGCACCAATCACAAATCCAACCAGCAAAGCCGTGGTAAATTGCGGGCAACCAGGATTCCCTGGCGAGCTCAGCGGTTACCGCGAACCAGTGCAACAGAAAAACCAGCCGTTTCAAGTGTCCCTTTGTTTTCACACAAACCCATTGAACGCTTTTACTTAATTTCGACACTCGGAAACTGCGATTGACGGTGTTCGTGTCCGGGAAAAGGGGGGGACCCATGCAGACGAGGACCAAAGAGGGAACCCCCAATTACTAAGTACTGTATCGTTTGCTCCCGAGCCAATTATTTATGATTCGGGGAAGCGATTGATTAGGTGTGTTTGGGCGACCAAACAAAAGTGGCTGAGGTGGCAAAAAAAGATCAACGCCCCCATGTTTACTACAAACAGGGGGGTGCATCAGCCGCAAAAGGGAACCGGCACGCTTTCAGGGAGTTCTGTCTGTTTATCTGAGGTCTTACTAGGGGTTCGATATTCCACAAAATTTGCCGACTTCTGTCCGGCGTGGTTGGGAGCTTCCCCCTAGTCCTCCAGGCAGGGGGGGCGCGCCCACAACGGGGGGCGGGGGTGGCGGGCTCGAATCCTCCCTGAGTCGCCCAGGCCAGTGCTGCGTGGGGCTCTTGGGCGCTGGCGTGGTCGGTGAGGTGCGTTCTTTTGTTGTTGCGTGGGGTCTGCAGCTTTTCTCTGGGTTCTCTTTGGCTTTTCTCGCGGTTCTGCGTACTTACGTTCGGGCTTCATTTTGTGCGCCGTGTGCATTTTGCGTAGAGTTCCTCGCTTTTCGAGAGATTTTGGGGTGCCGGCGTGGTGGGTGACGTGTGCGTTTTCGCGTGGGTTTGTAGCTTTTCTCGCGGTTGTGCTCTTCGGCGCGGGCATGTGCGCGTGGCGGGCGAGGTGCGCGTTTTGCATGGGATTTCCGGGGTGCGCGCAAGCGGTTGGTTAGGTTCGTGCTTCCTTTGTCAGTTTTCAATGTTCTTTCTGGGGGTCCGGCGGTGTGTCGTGTGGGGTTCGGGGCGCCGAGCGCACCAGTCGGCGGAATGAGCCGGCTCGAAAGTTGCTGGGTTCCAGTGGGGTGGCTTGAGAACACTAAGACGACGTCAACATTGAGAGGCCATCTCCGAAGCCGGTCTTGACACGTGCAATCAACGTGATTGAGAACATGGGTGCAAAGAATGGGAGATTCCCTTCCAGATCGCAAGGAAGAGGTCAATTAGAGTCAATTGGCCCTAAGTCAAGCGTAACAACGCAATGCGTTTGACATAGTTCTTCTCTTCCTGAGTATGGGCCAAACAAGTAGCCAAACATGTTGAGCCACTAAGACTAGTTCCTCCAGAGAGGATAGAATAAGGGTACCCTTTTTCTGTAGTCTATTTCGGTAGGGAAGCCCTCCCCGAAAAAGGAAACGGTAACAGTTGGCACTGGGGGACCTAGAAAATGGCCACCAAACCCAAGTGGCCAACGCCACTTCTCCCCTCAAGCCTTGCCTTAGGCAGCTGGCGCCGCGCGCGCCGCAAGAGCTCAGCGCCCCAAATGCCCCAATCCACCCGCAAGCTCAGCTCGCAGCCGTCCAGGCCGGCGATGGGAAGCTCCACGCTACCCTCCATGGCGGTCAGATCATCTTGCTAGGGGCTTGAGCACGACCATTGGTTGGAAAAACAACTAAGATGAGATCATCACCCTGGATTGATCCAAAGCTCCGAAATACCATGCCGGACGAATTGCCGTACTAGATGGGAAAAGCTACCCATGGTCATTTGGGGGCCAGGAATATTGATCAAACCTAAATTAATGACCTCCCCGGTTTGATTTATAGGGATGTCCTCTTTTGTCGGGGGTGTCAACCACTTTTGGAGGCAACAACCCTGGGCGGGGACGCTTTTTTTTCATGCGGGGTGGGGAAACCCCGGACTTGAGCAATCTTGGCTCACATCTGTACACGGCAAATAAGGTGTTCTGACTCTGCTTCATACTGTGGATGGTTGCGAAATCCACAGTTCAGAAACCCGGTTTGCTGATCATGCCGGTGTAAATACCAACAAAGGTTATGATTTCCACCATGGCTTCAAAGTGATGCAGGATTTCGTCCATCTACAGTATGCAGTGTACCCTAAGATATATAATGGATGAACTAATCATGCACCACTTTGAATGATAGAATAGTGCGGGATAAACCAATGTAAATCTATTTGATTGCCGTTCTAAACAACGCATGTACCATCCATATGACGACTAGAAACGGAAAGGGGACAACCATAAAGGAATGTGTATGCGTACTATGTAGAGAGAGAGAGAAAGATATATACATAATAATAATGTGCATATATACAAATATACATACACACATACACACACACACTCTGGGCGTACAGGCCGTAGTTGCACTTCAACGGGAGGCAATCATGAACCCAGCTTCAAGCCAAACCCATGTGCAATTGCGCAACTCTCAGCATGAGGCTAAGGGACATAATCCGAATCGAGTGCTTAAAAAACCAATGGCCATTTTGCAGGTTCAGCGACCTGGTTTCACAACAACATCTACTAAGGTCTACATAGACATAAACCATCGAACACTGGTATGTCTTTTCATCGCGGGACCCGACAAAATGTTTTCTGTCCTTCTAGTGTTCCTTTAAACCGACCCAAAACGGCTTGTGTCAAGAAAGACGAGCCTTCGTAGACTTGAAGCCAAGACCCCTATCGGCAGCAAGCGGCTTGACATGAAATCGAAGCCTGACTTGACATTGGCTAAAAATAAGCAGGGAAATGGGAATCGCTGGGTAAAATCTTTCGGTCCTTGTCTGGGAGTGGATTGAGCGTCTCGTTGTCAGACTGGAATCTTCCAGTCCTTGTTTGAACATCCAGTCTGACAGGAGAGCCACTGTCAGGATCAAGATATCTGAGGAAAGAGTTGAGGCACCTTCCAATTCAGATCGCAAATGACAGTGTGACAAAGAGGCAGGAAAGCACTGGTGGTGTCCTACATACTTTATTCTTGAAGAAAATGAAATTCGAATTGGAGATAATCCCCAAATGTCGCAAAGCCTGACGCCTATGCCCCAGACCGATCTGGCACTCCCGAGAAAGCCCCTGGAAAGAGTCGGCTGGGATTTGGCCCGTCGGAAAGGAACCCAACCTGGGTCTATCTCCAAATTGGTTCGGAATAAGCGAGTGGTTTGCTTTTCGTTGTGGTTGATGTCAAGGCACAAACGCAAATCATGAAGACATAATCCATATCAATCGCAGTTGGTTCCTTACGGCTTTCGAAGGCTGAAAAGCCGCGGTCTCCAAACGGAAGCGCACAGCCCCCCAGCCCCCCATGTCCAGTGCCTTGTGACATGACAGCAATGCCCAGCCTGGGACCGATCGGACGAAACGGATTCCCTGCGAATGTGGCTCTACACTCGGATCGGATCCCAGTCAGGAAAAATGCGTTAATCCCGGACAAAAACATACCAGAACCCTCCAACTACCCATAGAAAATAAAACTCACCGCATTCCATGGGAATCTTAAGGGTGGTGTCTCTTTTGCGACCCGTCTTGACCCAGGTATCCCCAGCCAGGAGCTTTGCGATCCCAAGCCTCCCAAGGAATGCTCGGAACGAGACCCGTTCAGCTGTTGGGTACAAAATGGACCTGCCTCCATTTGCCAATACGTCGCCTGCCAAGAATACAAGCTAATATCCAGTGATAGATTGAAGCGCAAGTTCCCGTCTCTCTTACTTCCATTTGCTTAAGAATATGTTTTTCCCCCCTGTTGGCTTTAAAGGGAATCTATCACTGCTGGATTTGCTTTTGTCCAGGCGCCTTCACCAAATGGAAGCTTAGCCTCTTGCCCACCACCTCCACCCTGCAAGCAAACACACAAATCGTTGCACAGGCCTCCAGGCACGGGGCAACGTATCGAAGAAAATTGCTTTTGGGGTGTCCAAATTCTTGAGAATCTTGCTTTAGTTTCCCCTGTTGAAACCTCGGAGCACAAGCCTTCCCATGGTAGACGGCTGATCACACGCGGATCAACCAGTTACCACAAGAGAGTGATTCGCTAATTTACACCCGTCCTACTGCGGATGGTCACAAAATCCACAAACCGCACCAGTTGGGATTGGTGGTATCTATAGGGTTTCATCCTTTCCAACTGGTGCAGCAGTTCGTCCATCCGCAGTATTGGAGGGGTATTCCCGTAAAGCAATGCCCCCATAATTAAGAGGAATTGGACACCCCCGGATCAAAATCAACCAGGGGGCTATTCATCCGAGGTTCCCTCTACCGCAGATCAACCTGGAACCCAACACACGTTCATCGCTAGAAGACCCTGCCTTTGGATGTTAAATTGTAGCGGAGCAACCAAATATGCTCCTGCTCGTTTTAAAGATTGGTTCTCTTGCTTACTTTCTATACCTAGTGCTGGACAAACACGTGATGGGCTTCGAATTACAGGCACAGTGAGTTTGTTAAAGGTTGGTTTGGGGAAGGTCCTACGCAAATATATATTTGGGCATGGCGGGCGCGTTCAAATGGACCAGAAACGATCGATGCTTTCTTGCTTCTGGAGGTTCCGTGATGCGGTTAGTCGATTCCCGTCGTCTCTGGTAAGCTCAGGGCGATCGGTGGATTGCCGATGTTTTATGCATGTCCTACAAACAACGGGATCAATCTCGATCTTTCCCATGGTGCTACTGTCAATACTTATTGTCCCGCCAAAGACATTGGATTGTGAAGGTGACCCTGTAATCCCCTTGCTGCAATAGATGACTTCAATATGGGCGAGTGGTATGGTTTGCTTTGGTCTGGGTCCGGGTCAAACTGTCCATAAATTTCAAGTTGGTTCACCACGACAGGAGGCGAGGGAAAACTGGGTGGCACTGGGAGTGGTTCGTGGACCAAACTAAGACCGTTGGAATACAAATGAGTCATAGTCAACACCTGGTATTAAAATGGTCTACCCAGAAGCGTGTATCGAATCAAAAAGAGGGCGAAGGCACCCCTTTATCCCGAACCTTCCTCTGCCCGAATCGGTGTTGATTGTGTCCAACCAAATGAAGCTAGCCCCCCCCCAAGGGTCTTGATCTCACTGGCTGAGTGGATTGGCCACAAAAAATACCACTAAAATGATCTTCCCGAATTAAAGTCCAGGAACTCGGGGAGTGGGTGATAGCCTCCTTTGATGGCACCAAGCCCATCCCTTCACCTCTGGCTCCCAGCTCTCGGCTGCGACTCACATCAGGTGAGCGCGCTGCACGAATTAGGTTTTGCACTCATGGCAAACGCCCCGCTTTGTGAAGCAGTGAGAAACTGGCAGAGGCAAGGTCAGCCAGAAACTGGCAAGGCCATGTAAGCCAAAGAGGTAAGCCATGTAAGGCCATGTAATAAAGAAAGCCTTGTGTGTCAAAATAGAGCGTGCGAATTGGTGTTTCTGGGTTTCTCCTTGAATATGTGAGAGGAGTCCTGAAGTAGGACACCTTTGTGGTAAGTTGTGGCAAGATTTTAAGGTCAGCTCGCCACTAGAGGGTGATGCCTCACGAAAACTAAAACACACAACAAAACAAACAACAAAACAATGCAAGTGGAAAGACTGGCCATGAAGACAGTTCATGGACTTGAAGAAAACTACGCGACACTCAATACTTCATTGAACTGCGTAGCAGAGCCTCCTTCACAGTGCCAACCGGATTTCCGGAACTGCTCATGCTTTCTTCAATGCACCCTGGTCTCTCCGCTGCATATGCATTGAGCCGAGCAAAAGAGCAAAAGGTCGGATGCAAATGGATCAAACTACTCGAGCCAGCAACCAAACCATCTGGGACGTAGCTGAGTGAGTTTGATGAAGCATTAGCTCAGAACCTTCTCAGTATAGGTTCGTGGATGGTCACCCCGTGTGATGAGCAAAACGGGTAAAAATGTGAGTTTAAAAAAATGGGGACCCCTAGAATGGTTGGTGTCCCTTTTTTTTTCGCTTTCCAACCAACCCAAAGGCGGTCCCCAAAAAGAGAAACACCCGAATAAGACGACCAAGCATGCTTGCAGAGTGACTGTTGCTGAGGCTTGCTGCCAACCACTCAGCTAACTGGATCAGGCCTCCGAGATGTTGGCTGGACCGATCAGCCACTGGAAGTCGTGACGGCACCCCTAATTCTACATGATGTTCCTATCAAAGGGAAACCAACACAAAACTAGCCATTTAGGGTCATAATTCAAAACACGCAACTATGTGGTACTTGCCAGACACGATCATGCTTCCCCACGCCAACAATGCTAATCCCCACATTGTCTTTCCCCGGACATGGGTTTCTGTAATACCACGAATCGGTAGGATTCCCCAGAAGAGCGAGACGCCTTGAGAACAAAGAAACGAGGTCTCAAGCTCTATGGCTCAAATGCCAAGCCGCAAGCCGTACTTTTTCAAGTGTGTTGGTTGGACCAGTCCGGCCATGTGACTCTATGGCTCTATGCTCATGCCATGCCTCCTTTTCAAGTGTTTTAGTGTTTTGGTTTCCTTTTGGGACTGAAACAAATATGGTTGCTGATCCCAGGAGTCCCAAGAGTCCAAAGGCAAACGCCCAGTGAGCAGCTGACACTCCATAGGCAGGGTCAAACTCAATTCTTT